CGAGTTTGTGTATCACAGCTTTTAATCTTTTAGCTATTGCCGCCGATATAATTTTGAAATCTACATTTAGTAGCGAGATAGGTCTCCAGCCTTTAGGCGAATCCTTTGGTACGCCTGGTTTAGGAATCAGCTTAACAATACTTTCGTTATGTGAATTCAGATTTTTGTGATCTTCGAATCTCTCAATCCATGCTCGATATAGAAAGATACCTAATGATTCCCAAAAATGTTTAAAAAACTCGGATGTAAAACCGTTCGAGCCCGGCGTTTTGCCCTTTTTCATGTTCATCAATGCCTGTTTCAGTTCTTTCAAAGAAATAGGTTCGTCTAAGACTCTTTTTTCATGTTCATTCAACTTCTTCCTTATATTATTACTCAGATAACCGCTTGGTATCACGGAACGAGTTTTGAGATACTTTTTCCGAAGTCCTTCAGAAAAATATTCAAGTATTTCTTTTTTATTTCTTTTTATCAGTGATAACTCGGTCATCCAAACTGAGGATTTGTATTGAACCCTTCACTGCGTTCCTTTTTCAAGAGAGAGGAAATACTTCGTGCATCTTTCACCCTCCTCGTGCCAGCTTACCCTGGACCTCGTTATAAGACCTTGAATTTTTACCTTTCTTTTATCTTCTAATTTTTGTTGAGCGTGATCTAAGCGCTGAAGTGTATCAGGGCTGGGATAATTGTTTAACTGATCACTAATCCGCGATATTTCTTTGCAAATTTTATCCTCCTCTTCCCTGAATTTTCGTGCTTTCCTCTTTGCGAATCTAACAGTCTCACCACGAATCATCATTAACAATGTCTCGTAGAAGATATGGCTGCTTATGGTGAAGTCGATTTTGCAGAAATTGTTTTGGTCTCTTACAAATTCTGTTGTGTAAACTGGAACAGCATATTGTTCTACCGTATTAGTTATAAGCTCTTTGATGGCCTGATCATATGACTCGTCTACAAGGAGTGAGTTATTAAATTTCCAAATTCCTGGCCCCCGTTTCTTGCTGGGTGTCCTCATCTGCACTGTAACAATGCTATGATCCGAGCGATATCCAGGGATAATAGCGCTTGAAGAAACGCTATCTACCAAATGGTCGCTTACAAAAATCATGTCCAATCGCCCATACTTATATGGATTTAATTTTGTCCACGTGAAAGCTCGTTTTCCGGGATTCATCTTTTGCCAAATATCCGTCAAAGCTTCTTCTTCTAATATTTGGACAAATGCGTTCCGAGCTGCGGGATTATTCTGCCTATTGTAATTCGAATCGCGCCGGTAGTCGATAACAAAATTAAAGTCGCCACCAATGATAAGGTTCTCACATGTAATTTGGCTCAATGTACCACTGACCTGATGGAAAAATTCTGGCCTGTCTTCATTTGGTCCGTAAATATTTAGTATTGTATATGTGGCGCCTTTCAACTCTAGCACACACAGGGTGTAGTTCCCTTCTGGACACCTTTTGAGTAGAAGAAGGTCGTGCTGAATTCTGTTGTGTAAACTGGAACAGCATATTGTTCTACCGTATTAGTTATAAGCTCTTTGATGGCCTGATCATATGACTCGTCTACAAGGAGTGAGTTATTAAATTTCCAAATTCCTGGCCCCCGTTTCTTGCTGGGTGTCCTCATCTGCACTGTAACAATGCTATGATCCGAGCGATATCCAGGGATAATAGCGCTTGAAGAAACGCTATCTACCAAATGGTCGCTTACAAAAATCATGTCCAATCGCCCATACTTATATGGATTTAATTTTGTCCACGTGAAAGCTCGTTTTCCGGGATTCATCTTTTGCCAAATTTCCGTCAAAGCTTCTTCTTCTAATATTTGGACAAATGCGTTCCGAGCTGCGGGATTATTCTGCCTATTGTAATTCGAATCGCGCCGGTAGTCGATAACAAAATTAAACCTAACTATCTCTCAGCTCCGTTAGCATCGACGACCGTTTGATGCATGGGTCCTTTTCCTACCATGCGATTTTCAGATGCATGGGAACACATTGCTTAGTGAACGAACAGCCCGAGGCCGATAATCTGCGAGAGAAAAAGAAAGGAGTGTTTCTGGCTGTTTGAGCCAGCAAATATGAAATGTGTCGCAACATTTTACGTGCGAACGCATCTTGCACTAAACATACCTATACACTTCCCTCATAGCATAGGCGGCGGAGCGGGGGGGGGGGGGGCACCGGGGCACCACGCCCCCTGATTTTGCCATTTTAACATTATCCCTATAGGCGTTGCATGGAAATGGAAATGGAAAGAATGGGACCAAAAGTCGGCAGTGCCCCCCCCCCCCTTAATTGAAGATGTTCCGCCGCTACAGCCTCATGGCTACAAAATATGAGAGAGAGAGAGAGAGAGAGAGAGAGAGAGAGAGAGAGAGAGAGAGAGAGAGAGAGAGAGAGAGAGAGAGAGAGAGAGAGAGAGAGAGAGAGAGAGAGAGAGAGAGAGAGAGAGAGAGAGAGAGAGAGAGAGAGAGAGAGAGAGAGAGAGAGAGAGAGAGAGAGAGAGAGAGAGAGAGAGAGAGAGAGAGAGAGAGAGAGAGAGAGAGAGAGAGAGAGAGAGAGAGAGAGAGAGAGAGAGAGAGAGAGAGAGAGAGAGAGAGAGAGAGAGAGAGAGAGAGAGAGAGAGAGAGAGAGAGAGAGAGAGAGAGAGAGAGAGAGAGAGAGAGAGAGAGAGAGAGAGAGAGAGAGAGAGAGAGAGAGAGAGAGAGAGAGAGAGAGAGAGAGAGAGAGAGAGAGAGAGAGAGAGAGAGAGAGAGAGAGAGAGAGAGAGAGAGAGAGAGAGAGAGAGAGAGAGAGAGAGAGAGAGAGAGAGAGAGAGAGAGAGAGAGAGAGAGAGAGAGAGAGAGAGAGAGAGAGAGAGAGAGAGAGAGAGAGAGAGAGGAGAGAGAGAGAGAGAGAGAGAGAGAGAGAGAGAGAGAGAAGGAGAGAGAGAGAGAGAGAGAGAGAGAGAGAGAGAGAGAGAGAGAGAGAGAGAGAGAGTTGGGGAACGAGGAGGAGAGGGAGGAAGATGGGGGAGAGAAAGAGAGAACCCACAGCGTATCACGAGTGAAGTCTATTGTTGATATTCATACTTCCGCTACCCTGCTAATGTGCCCATCGTTGCGTTTTCGCAACACCGCTGTCTTTCCGATGTGCCCTTCGTTGCGTTCCCGCAACGCGACTGTAGTCATATTTGAAAATAGTCACAAACCCTTTTTGTAGCATTATTTCTTAACAAAATGCATATCTACGCTATTGTAGGGACTCTGCAGAATATGTTTACACAATTTTCATTATGATATTATTAGGCACTTAGCCTACTTATCTTGGTTTTCGTGACGTCATCACTCAGAAAACCTTCGACTTCCCTCTGGGAGCTCTAGGCAGTAACTTACCGGCCGCACAGACTTGTAACTGCGTAGCAACATGCGCACAACCATGCTACACACGCTGAAACTTGTCTCATCGGTTAGTCTCTTTTACACACTTCTCAAGCTTCGATCACGTCGACGCTTGCTTGCGTTGCGAAAACGCAACGAAGGGCGTAAATGGGATAATCCAGAGGCTTCTCTATCGCCGTTGCGGTGTACCGTCTATCACCGTTTCGTCCTTTGTTGAGCTCGAGGGTTTATATAGCTCGTTACAGAAAAAAAAAACCTGTGCGTCGTTGCAAATGCAGACATGCGGGACAGAACAGAACGATTGATACAAAACTCTGAGGTTTCAGGTCAACCTGTGGTGGACTCTGAGATCATGTCAAAGACCGAAAAGTCGAGATCCACTGTCTGTTTAAAAACTTAAGCAAAAAAAAAAAACAACAACAACAACAATAACATAGGACGTGAAACCGTGCTGGTCGCCCTGGTCCTGACCTGATTCTGAAGGGTTCAAGGGCGGCCCGGTCAGAGCGATCCTATTAGGCGCCGGGTCCAATAGGGCCCAGTTCGGTTTAGGCTCAAACCAAACACGGCCAGTTCATGGTAGGAGACCCGCCCTGACCCGGTCAAAGATGCTTCGACCCAGATGTAGCCCGGTCCATTCGGAGCCCAATCAGAGGACATGCTTGGCAAGACATCGTTCGGTAGGGCGTAGGGACTGGATCTGGAGAAGCCGAACCAATTAAAAATTTGGTCTGACTGGTCAGTTCGAACACGGCCCGGTCAAATAGATTCCGGTTTGGTACACACGAAGTAAGACGGAGAGAACTCGTTTAGCTTGGGCAGAAGAGGTGTGATGTGGTTCAGTGGAGCTTGAGTCGCGTGACATAAGTCCTGGCTCGGCACGGGACAGTCGAATGACTCATTTACGTGGAAGTTCGTCCCGAGAGGCGCCTAAATCTTCTGGGGACGGTTTGGGACCAAAGCGATCACACCGATACAGTCTCTACTGATCACTGTAAATTTAGACCCACGAAGTTAATACTTGACTCAAGGTCACAACTCACAGACAAAGAAAGTAAGCTCCGGTCAGCGCCAGGGACAAAGGGTTAGTGGGGCACATAGTGAAGGGCCCACGTGCCCTGAACACGGCAGTGCCACCGCACTACCCGGCTCAGTATTTTCACAGACCGAAGCCATCCGTCGTCCATCGGAACGCGCGGCTGCAAATGTTTGCCGGGGATGCAGTCAAAACATCGCGGGTCAACGGCCGCGCGCTCCCGGCGCCCGTTCGGGGAACCCGCGGCCCAAATAGACCCGGGCGCTCACCGGCCAAACAGACAGCCGCCGCCGCCACGGCCGACCGACACCCAGAGGTCGGCGCGACGCGCCCCTGGGGAGATGTGACATGGAGGGGGCCCTGAGTGGCTACCGGAGCCGAGGGCAGCGCCGGACAGCGGCAGGCTGCAGGCGCTATGGGCGAGCTCAAGGCACAGAGCGCACGAGCTCCTCGCACACGTGAGCACCGCCCGAACCGCGGCGTCGGACGCCCCCACAGCGCTCTCCCCCAGTGGACTCACCGCCTCCCTGCAGAGGAGAGGGAGCCCGTCCGGCCATCCCCAGGTACTCAGCCTCACCTGCATGTTCTGGTCCGGCGATCCCGCGCGCACCGCTCCTGCGTCGCTCATGGTGGCCAATCGGACAGCACAGAGGCGACACCGTCGACAGCGACCGTCCGTCGCAGCCTCCTCCGGCGCCGCCGACGGCGCGGCCGGACCCAGCGCGCACGCGCCGACTGGGACGCTTATAGCGCATGATTCAGGAACGCCGCCGCCGACAGAAGAAACCGGAGACGGCACGCACCTCCCGTCGGAGCCGGCGGCGGAAGCCGAGCGCGGCGGCACCCGAGCCGGCCGCTCAGCAGACGCGCCGGTGCGCTGCCGCGGCGCCGGCAGACATAACACAGACGGGGGCGGGCTGGGGCGCGTCGACCCCGACACATTCGCCGCCCGACCGGTGGCAATCTGGGCCCGGCGACAGCCGTCCGCACTGCAAGGTCACTCAGAGACAGAGATGGCGGTCCGCGGTCACCGGTCCACGGTCACCAGACGGCGGTCAGCGGTCACCAAACGGTGGTCCGCTGTCACCAGACGGCGGTCACAGGTCAGTGGTCACCCGGAGACGGCGGTCCACGGTCACCAGACGGCGGTCAGCGTTACCCAGAGACGGCGGGTCACGAGTCACTACTCGCCAGGAGTCTGCTATCACCAGTCCATGGTCACTTGTCACTCGGGGACGGCGGTCACCGGTCACCAGATGGCGGTCACCGGTCACCAAACGTCGGTCACCGGTCACTGCGGGATCACCCGAGCTGTTAGCATGGCACCTCCGATAGGCATAACTCCACGATTCATTGATGCGCGATTCACGAGTTACATCAGGCACGCACCGTATATACAGAGCTGCGGCAGGTATCTGGAATAATTACGGGGATGCTGAGATTCGAACCCTCGACCCTTGCCTCCACCCACGTCTCAAACCCTCAAAACGAAGGCGCGCGGAGACATTTTCGGCGAACGCACAATACATTCGCCGATTATGGCGCGGTATACAAAGTGGTCCTAGCTTTGCTTGTGATTCAACCAAATGACGTCGAAAGTACAATTTCTCCGCTGTTTTCCATGTTTATTGTTTTACATCGGGTGCTATTCTTATCTAAATTGCAAGGAAGCATCTAGATTTTGTTACTTTATATTACTTTTAACTGAATTCTTACCTGATTTTAACAATTTGTTTAAAAAACGCAAAACTTAAAATTGACCTTTGTGTTGGTAGACAAGACAAAACTTTATGTAGGTATATTTGAGTTCAGTTTTTGCCTTTTTCTTCTGTAAAAATTCAAGAGAAACTGAAAACGAAGCTTACTGGAACAGTTTTCAAAATCGTGTTTCGAATGAGTTTGGGTCCGGTTATTTTTTCTTTATTTTTTAAGTTCTTATTTCTTGTGATGTCATAATATTATTCCATCGGTGATGCATTCATGTTTTACTCATTCTCGTTTCCTTGAATGAAATCCGCCTGGTGGCACGCGAGCGTGTGTGGGGTGCGGAAGGGTGGACTGCCGTACATTTATTTATTTTTTGTTGTACGGTCCGAATACTAGCTTGATTGACGCTTTATATTGGTGCTGAATGTTCCATTGACTGGAAGAAAATCATGTACCCAGTAGGACAGCGTAAGTTGTACTTCGACCTTTGTTCTTCTATCTTGAAGAACAAAGGTCTTTCATTGTTCTTGAATCATGATTCACAATCAATTTAACATTATTATACAAGCCAACAGTCGCTTCTAAGCATATTCCCAGATATATTTATCATGTTTTTTTCATTTATATCATATTACAAATATTGCTTGTTATTTGTTATTTAGCATTGTCAGGTTGTTAGAAAGTAGGTCATGACATTATTTCCTCATTTGTTGCTACTCTTATCATGTTTTGTATAGATGCTGACTTTTCACTGTAGATTACCCTGTAAATGAAATTTTTATTGAATTGAGACATGTTTTAGAGCTTGCAGGTATAAATTTGCCTGTCCAGTAGCTCAGTTGATACAGCGCTGGACTCCCGGCAGTGAGAGCCCAGGTTCGAGTCACTCCGATGCTCAATATTTGAGACTCCTGACGGGGATGGTCTGCGGTTAGTGGGAGCAGCCGCAGCCAGTTGAAGTCAGTTGAGTGGGACAGGCCGTGTCCGGCTTTGAAAGGCACGCTAAACTTTGGCATCTAAATTCTCCCGTTACCCAGAATTGCACGATCAGACAGGGGTGGTCTACGCAACAAGCTCTGCTTAGCTTGGGCTCTGGCTCTGTCAATCCGTCCATTCAAACATTCGAGCTAAATTTAATAAAAAATGAAATCTCACTTCAAAGTTATAAAAGGCATGTAATATCATTGACGAGTTTTAGTTAAAGTAATCTAAAAAATCTTACCTTTTAGATTCCTTTGAAAGGGATCAAAGTTCATATCAGCTGAGATGTTGACACTGACAGAACTTTATAAAATACTTACCAATAAAACAGTGTCAACACCAAAAAGGATGTCTGTCGAGTGTCGACCATGGGTGGAACTTGGTGCTAAGCTGGGGTCAAGGTGCCCAGGCGTAACAAATCGCCGCAGCCCTAGTGGTGACCTTGACCTCTGCCATCTGTTGTGGGCTTCAAAGCCAAGTGGCTGTGGAATTGAGAGAGCTCGGGCACTCCCAGCTCAGCAAAAACTTCCACCTTTGCTCCCAACTGCTGTGAAGGTAATTCTTTGCAGTGTTTAACCGTTTTCCAGAATAGGTGGTATTAGGTACCAAGAAAAAATGATTGAAAGCAGGTTAGAGGCCATTTTTTGCAGCACTAGACAGTGAACAGCATCGGGCACACATCAGAACATGCCTGAAGTTGGCACACTTTCCTAGCTGCTAGGGGGAAGATATGGTTTAAAAACTAATCAAGTTAATTGAAACCCCATGGAAAATTTATTAATTATCTCAAAACAAAGATTGAATGATCTGGAAGGTTAAGCTAAATGGTGGCTTAGCGCGACATCAACTAACATATTCACTAATGGGCTCTATGATTTTTGAAAACATGTCCTTTTGCATGTCATGGTCAGTTAAATTCAGCAGTTGTCCCAATAAGGTGTAAATAAATTAACCCAGTACACTTATACACATTTTAATGAATGTAGAAGAGATGCACATTCAACATGCAGAAATGCTTGATTTTATAAGTTGTTTGCAGTATGCACCACCTTTCTTGGCAAGTTGTAGGATATTTGGATGTGGCATCAAAAGAACGAGCAGCCTAAGTCATTGATTTCCTTGGTTAAAACTTACAGTGCTCTTGATGTGTTCCTCTTCCTTTATGTTTTCTTTACATATTGGTGCATCAGCTCTACCACAATTTGTATTTGTATCACAATGTGGATTTGTAAGAATTCCTTACCTATCAAACAGAAAGAAATGAATGCTAGATTGTATCCCAAACAATCTATGCCTGAATATAATCATGATATGGATTATCCTTTTTACTTTTGAATAGGTACAGCAATGAGCAACAGACTCTTAACAAAGTCATTGCATCATAACCAAACAGAATTTGAAGTAGTGGTTTTGAGCTGCAAGCCTAATCCACCCAGGAACAGCTGATATGCCATCTCATTGACACCAATTCGCTGCTATGTGGTCCTGTCTGATATTCACTAACTGGTGTATAGTCTCTTCTGACGTTCAGTGACCGCTGTGCCGTCCCGTCCGACACTCGGTGACCGCCCATCCCGTCCCGTCTGACGCCTGACGGTGTGCCCCCCTGTGTGTCCGGCAGCGGGACCGCCGGGCGCCGCGCCGCCGCCCGCCCTGCCGGTGGCCGTGGCGCCGCCGGCCGGCATCACGCCCGTCTCGCTGCTGCAGCCCGCCTCCGGCGCCGTGGTGGCCGCCGCCGCCGCCGCCGCGCCCGCGCTCGCCTCCGACATGCCCAGTGAGTGGCCGAGCCGTGAGTTCACAAACGGCGGCCCCTGGCCTCACAGTCAGTACCGTATGGCCACCTGACGGCCCCGTGAGCTTACAGACTGACTTCTACATGAGCTCACATTATGCTATGGTCATGCTATCAATGAAAGTGTATTTGCTCTTTCATTAGGAAAACGATGCCATGCTCATCTGGTTGTGTTTGTGTCTCGGCTTGTTTCCACTGATTTTGTCTGTTACTGCACTCACATAGCGATTTTGAGCCACCATCTTCATGGCCATTGACCGCACTTACTCATTCTCAGTTTAGTAGTATTCATTTTAGCCATTCCTCTCTCTGTCTGGCAGTATTCATCCTTCATTCTGGCCTCTCCTGTGTCCGGCAATATTAGTCCTCTGCATTGTAGTATTCACACCGACCCGTCTGGCCGTCTGCACTCCTGCAGTATTCATCCTGGCCTGTCCAGTGTCTGGTAGAGCTCGTGCTGTGTCCGGCAGCATCCCCGCCTGTGTTCGTCAGTATTCACACTGACCCGCCAATCGTCCGGCGTTATTGACGCTGATTTGTCCCGTGTCTCGCAGTGTTAGGTGCAGTCCGTGTTCTGTTCGGCAGTATAAGCGCTGACCCGTCCAGTATCGTGCAGTGTTCACTCAGTATTCACCCTTCCTTGCGACTCTGTCGGCGCTGACAGTATTTTATGTAACCTTCCTCTGCCTGGTAGTAGTCACCCTGACCCATTCTGTGTTCGGCAGTATTCGCGGCGCCTCGCCGGCCAAACCTGGGCCGTGAGGGCCGCGGCATCCAGCTGCGCGCCAACCACTTCCAGATCACGATGCCGCGCGGCTACGTGCAGCACTACGACGTCAGCATCCAGCCAGACAAGTGCCCCCGGAAGGTGAACAGGTACGTACCGGTCCGGTGGTCTGTGTCCCCGCGGCCCGGTGACAGTTGATAAACACCGCTGAACAGCGGCCGATAAACAGCCATCCCGGACCACGGCCTGTTTTCGCGAGGCGTGTGTTGTTTTCGTGAAGCGTGAACTTTGGATAGCCTGTTCGCTTCAAGTGTGTTGTGGAATTTGATATATACACACTTATAGCGACATGAAAGCCCAATCTTGTTTCAGTGAAGCCTTTGTCTTGAAAATCATACAAAGCGGTATTTGATGTCTCATGCGATTGTATCCTGCCCTCTGACGACACATATTATTTAGCAGCTGATCACCACCAATTTGAGAATGCCCCTCACCGTCCCACTGTTTCTCCCACTTTCCCACAGGGAGATCATCGAGACCATGGTGAAGGCCTACGCCAAGATCTTCAGCACGATGAAGCCCGTGTTCGACGGCCGG